CTGTGCAGCCTTTCGTGCTTTTGAATTTCAGGACTGTCCATTCTTCTGGCCTTAGTCACACGGTTCTGACAGTCATGTACGTGGGTCCTCACTGTCATAACCATTTTCTTTTTCGTCCTCCAGGCAGCCCTCCGCCATGGGGTTTCTCCCCTCCGGCCCTGCTGCTGCTCCTCGCAGAGGGAGGGCACTGAGCCTGTGTTGGGAGGTCCACAGGGCTGGACCTCCCTGGGCTGTAGCCCGCACATTCTCCCAGTCTCTTGTCCCTCCTCCCATCCAGCGCTGTCCCACCGAACTCTGCACTGGGGGAAATCTAAACCCCTTCGGAAATGTGGCTAGAGCAACCCACGGACTATAATTTCAATCTGATTAATTTATGTGTGGGGGTTTTTCTTTTTCTGATGGTGATAAGGCTTGAACACAAGGCCTGGGCTCTGTCCCTGAGCTTTTTTTTTTTTTTTGCTGAAGGTGAGTACTGTACCACTTTGAGCCCCAACACCATTGCTGGCTTTCTGGTGGTTCATTGGAGATAAGGGTCATGTGGCCTTTCCTGCCTAGGCTGAAATGGGATCCTCGGATCTTAGCCTCCTGAGCAGCTAGGATTACTGGCACGACCCACCAGCGCCCTGCTTTATTTCTTCTTTTCTCCAGTCCTGGCTTGTCCTTAAAGCTTTCTTTCACTTAAGGCTAGCCCTTTACCACTTGAGCCACAGCTCCACTTCTGGCTTTTTTGGTGGTTACTTGGAGATAAAGGTCTAATGGATTTTCCTGCCTGGGTTTGGCTTTGAAGCTAGCTCTATCCCCAGATCTCAGCCTCCTGAGTAGCCAAGACTACAGGGGTGAGCCGGGCATTAGTTTACATTTGAATCCTCACATGTGTCTACCATGTTGGACAGCTGCGCTTTGAGGTCTCTTGTTGTCTGAAGGACAATTTCCAAGAAATACGCAAAGAAGCCTGATTTACCCTAACTGGAGGAGGAACATCTGGGCACATCTGGGCTTATTACAGGCTCCAGGGGTGGAGGAGAGACTTAAGGGGTTGGGCCCCAGATGCAGAAAACAGGCCTTGGCCACCATGCTCTCTTGGCTCTCATTTGTACCGCACATCTGTCCTCAGAACTGAATGGCCCAGGTCAATGGGAGTGGAGGCCCTCTGCGCTGTGCCCAGCCTTTAGGCCAGAACCAGAGCAATAGTGGGCTGGGCATCCCACCTGGCCAGGAAAGCCATGAATGCATGGCCAAGGCCATCCTACAACTTTGGGTCCAGTGGCTTCTGCTCTCACGGGCTGTGGGGCCCCCCCTCCCCCTTCCCAGAATGGCTTCTCCTCCCTTGGTAGTTTCAGTTGAAGCAGGTTGCTCAGTCCCTCTTGAACCTCCGCAACTCCTGGCTCCTCTCCTGAAGAGCTAGGCAGAGCAGCTGACCCCCAGCCCCTCTGGCACCTGGGGCCTGGCCCAGGAGGCACCACGTGTTTTAGGCCTGACCCTTTGCTTGTCTGGAGCTGTTGCTGCTAGCTGCAGTGACTCACATGGGGAAGGAGGGATGGTGGGTGGGTGGGGCCGCCATGTGGGCGAGGGTGAGCTGGCAGCTCTCTCTCCTCTCCCCTCCCCTGCTGCTGGCTCAGCACCAGGATGCTGGGCTGAGAAAAGGGGCCCTGCACAAGGAGGCAAAGGAGGAGGAAGACAGGGGCGCTGGCTGGGGCAGCCTGGAGGGGGGGTGGCTTGATCTCTGAGAGGACTGGGCTGGAAAGTTTTCCCCTTCTCTAGCCTTTGTCTGGCTCCTATCTGCAGGGCCTTCTTGGCAGAAGGTATCTTTGAAGTTCCAGCGTTGGTATTTCACGGTGGGAAGGGTTTGTGAGGCCTCCTAGGCCTTCCAGGAAGGGAAGGAAGGGAAGGGAGGAGAGGAGAGGGGAGAGAGAGGGGAGAAGGAGGAGGTGTTGCTCCAGCTCAGTCTTTGCTCACCACCTAGCCACTACAGCACCTGTGTTGCCAATGAAAGCTCCTGGTAAACACCACTTTTATGACCTTGTCAAATGGGAGAGCAGGTGTGTGTGGGGGGGGGCGGGGGAGGTAGGGTTTGTGTTTATTTTTCATCCATGTTGATTTCTGCCTAAAACTGGAGCTCCCAAATGCCCATGCCTTTCTGAGAGCCATAGTCCCATAGATGCGAACATAGATGCACCTTTGAAGTTCCATTTATACATACATACATGCATATATATGTATACGTGTGTTTGTGTGTGTGTGTGTGTGTGTGTGTGTTTTGTACCAGAACTGGGGCTTGAACTCAGGGCCTTGCATTCTTGCTTGTTTTTTTTTTTTGCTCAAGGCTGGCGCTCTTACCACTTGAGTCACACTGCCACTTCTGGCTTTCTGGTGGCTAATTGGGGATAAGAGTTTCCTGGACTTTCCTGTCCAGATGGCTTTGAACTGAGAGCCTTAGATCTCAGCCCCCCTGAGTAACTAGGATTATAGATGTGAGCCACTTGGAATTCTATTTTTCATTTCTCTGAGAAGGCTTTCAAGCCTTCTAGAGCCCTGAGAAGCTCCATTGGTCACACCCAGAACATCTTGCTTATAATTTATATCTGGAGTGGGATCTCAGCCTTTTAAATCTCCATACCACGCATGGAGAGTGCAGTCAATAAATATTTAGAAGTCTTGCTAGCGATGATGGTAGGTAACAATCTAATGCACTGCACAATTAAGTGTTAGTAGGCCAGCCCTCCTGTTAGTCCCTGGCTAACTCCTTTTAGTTCAGTGTTGGACTGAGAGGAGGCAATCAGTATGCATGTATGTATTTATTGATTGCTTGATAAACAGCTTCAGGGTGGGGCTTGGGGTGAGGCTCATCTCAATGAATGGTATCCCCCCCATATAATTTCACAGGCATGCTTTGGATGGCTATCGCCACCATTTTGTGTGGGTAGATGCAGTTTAGGGCCAGCTCCATTGTCCTGCCCATGGTGTCTTCCCAGGGCACCTCTGGGGCTGACAGCTCATCCAGTGGGTGGGGTGGGGAGGGGGTTGTGTCTTTACTCACAAGGCCTGGCTCCAGGCCCTGTGCAGGCAGCCAGATAGGTTTTGACTCATTACAGGCCTGAGGCGGGTACAGCTGTACCTCAGCCTCTCAGCTTGGGCCAGGGCCTGGTGGAGCAGGGGATTCCTTGGTTCAGGTCACAGACAGCTAGGCCTAGGTCCTGGAGCCACCAGGCAGTGAGGTTCCTTTTTGTCCTGAGGACGGGGAGGAGATGGTGAGTGGCTGAGAGGCCAGGGGAAGGCTGACACTACCACCATACTGGAAGCGCCCGCTGAGGGGTTAGCAGCAGAATGCTGCAGACCAGATTGGGTATAGAGGAAAGTTACAGATAGTTATAGATGCAGGTTGGAGCCTGGCCTGTCTGTCTGTTTGTCCGTCTGTCTCTCATTCTCTGCCTCCTGAGTAAGTTTGGATTACAGGAGTGAGCCTCCAGCACCTGGCTTCTTTTTCTATTTTTGGTGTCTGTCCTTGGGCTTGAACTCAGGGCCTGGGTGCTGTCCTTGACTTTTTCACTTTTTTTTTTTCTCTATCAATTAAGCAACAGCTCCACTTCCAACTTTTTGGTGATTAATTGGTGAGAAGAGTCTCATGGACTTTCTTGCCCTGCTGGCTTTGAACTGATATCCTTAGCTCTCAGCCTCCTTAGTAGCTGAAATTACAGGCGTGAGCCACCAGTGTCCAGCTTGTCTCTCTTCTAGTGTGCCCTGGGTCAGATGGCCTTTCAAAATCTCACTCTGTCTGTGAAATGGGGACAGTAATGCCTCCCTCTCACAGCTCTAATAGAGAATCTGATGGATTCTGTAGGTGCAGAACTCCTCTGTGATGGTCTTTGATCCAAAGGGAGATATTTTTTCTTTATTTTTATTTTGGTGGTACTGGGTTTGAGCTCGGGGCCTTCTGCTTATTAGGTAGGTACTGTATCACTTGATCCACACCCTTAGCCCTTTTCCCTTTAGTTTTTTTTGAGATAGGGCTTTGCAATTTTACTTGAGGTGATCTTCAACTTCAGTATTCCTGTCTGTGTCTCCCATGTAGCTGGGATTACAGGCATGCTCCACCGTGCCTGGCTGGAAATCCTCTTTCCCT